AAAATGAATTTTTATCTATACTAACTAGCAGCACTAATTAAAGGGGGAAAATGGGGCCTTTCTTCTTTAGGGATCCGAATGCATTAGAAACTAAGATGTAGTTTGTACTTAAAGATTCAATATAAATGGAGACTGTCGAGTGAGAGGGAAAAAAAGTATGTCCATTCTTGTTAAGACATTCAAAAATCTTTTCCAAGTTATATTACAGTTGCATAGTTGTCTGTACAAAGAAGGGGAAACACTCTGAGATCACTATTTAGCATCTATCTGTTACTCAGGCTTTGTGACCAAAGTTTTGTTTCTAGATCTAGATGCTACTGCAGAAAAGGTGTGTTTCACTCATATGGGGTAACTCTAGAGCATCTACCCCAATTGTCCCAAGTCAATAGAAATCTTCTGCCAATGACAGGGAAATTGGGATCCTGGGAGAGCAAATCAAATCTGTTTTTTTTTTTAAAGTGACTCCACATAGCAAGGAGAAGCCTCTCCAGCCATCAGATAGATAGGCTGGTCCAGTTTAAGGCTTTGCAGAGTTCTGAAATGAACCACCACATGAATGGGAACAAACTTATTCTCATTTCTGGGCACTCTTTGGAGATTTCCATATCTTTTTATAATGTAAGTAACTGTCAGAAAAGGTAAAAATGGGATCATAGATCTTTAAGAAAATGCTGTGGGCACACACAGAAAATAAATGTGACCAGAGGAATGAGAGGGAGCTCCTTGGAAAAGGAGGAACATAATTTGAGGGGAAGAGTCAATAATTCAACAACTATTCATTGTATGCCTGTCTACTGTGTACCTTGACATTGTCTCATGGTAGATTCAGTTAAATCTGTTTTCAAATTCTGCATCAAACCCTCCCCACGTGGCCTTAGACAAGTTACTAAACGTCTGTGCCTCAATTTCTGCATTAGCAAACTGTAGATGCTAATATCCATCTCAGAGTTTTTGAAGCTGAATAAAGAAAAACCATAAAAAATGCATATACAGTATATATCAATATATACCATTACATGGAATCTACCCTCATAGCATCACTTTTCTGTGTGAAGAACGAAAAAAGGGCAGAGAAGGAAGGTGGGTAAGGCACAAGCTAAAGAAGTAAGGATGTGAAAGGGTTATTGCAGGATGGGAAAATAACTAGACAGACTCAAGTAAAATGATTGTCCAGAGGCTCTGAAGGCCCAGCTACAGTTCCCTCCTACCCTGAGGCCACAAACAGATTTCATTTGTCTACTTTCAGGTATTTGACCAGAGAGCTGGACGATGGAGGCTTTCCTAGCTCAGTTCTAGTTATATGGTTAGATAGCTTTGCCAAATGGAAAGGACTAGAATAGTGAATTGGAATGTCTTAATCGACCTAAAGTTATCCCATTCATGTTTGATGGAGAGACTGAAGGGGGACAGAGGGAGGGTAAGTCAGGTAAGGAGAATCAGTTTAAATGTGAGATTCACCAGCAAGGAATAAGATAATAGTTTTTTCTTCTCCAATGGGAAATGAGTTATTGAATTTGAGAACAATTTCTCGGGGAGAAAAACACCCTCCACTCTTTCCTACACCCTACCTTTATTGTTTGGCTTTTGCAAGCATACCCACAATATAGGATTATAAATTCAGTTTATATCTCCCTTAGCCCAGTCTCCCTTTATTACACCACTTTACTGCTTCTTTGGGGCTGAGTCTCTAAAATTTGGGTCAAATGTTCCATTAAGTTAACCACTTTAGAATACCAATAACACTCCTACAGCACTTTTCATCTTCATAGCAGTTCACAAACATCTCCTTCTCCACTAATGAAGATGAGTTGAGTATCTATAGTATCTAAAACCAGAGCTATTTAATCATTGTCTGACGTGAAAAAGTAAAAACAAAATGCAAGACCAACAAAAAAAAGTATATTACATTTTAAACTTGCTGATTTGAACTTTTTAAAAATTCTTTGAACGTGCAGGCAGAACTCCTGCCACAAAACCCAGCTTTTGTAATGAAAAGTCAAAATAAGAATAGAAGCAACATCTTAGGGATGGTTTTTAGCCCTTCCTATCTTTCGGGGTGCTTTTAAATACATTATCCTACTTGATCTTCACAAAAACCAAAGAAAAGAAAAGGAATTATTATCCCCACATTTCAGATAAGGGTTTTTGTGATTAATTAACTTGTTTGAGTTTTGAGTTACTAAGTATTTGTACTGAGACTAGAACTCCAGACTTCAGGCTCCGAGTCAAAAGTTGCTGGGGAAGGAAGGATGGAGGCATTGAGAGGGAGTACATATTTACCCTGCTCCTTCAACTAAAACAATCCCATTAGCATATCACATTTGGGGCTTCCATGTGGATTTTCACAGTTCAACTTCATTAGACCCTCATCACACAGAGTATGCGGCATCTCCTCTATTGTTCATGACCAGCTAGATTGTGAGCTGCATTCCAAAATTACACTGAACAAGTGCTCGCTGCAGCAGCACATACACAAAATCACATTGAACAGGATTGCAAATCTCCATTCCTGGCAGGTTGCACTTACACACTATAATCTTTCCCCTTTGCGTGGCCCCCAATCATTCATTCAGCTTGTAAGGATCTATTTTATATTTTTATATTTTAGCAAGAGGCTTTCATTGAGGTTAAACAAAAACCTTGTTGTTTAACCCTTAAACTGTCCCTGCTCCCCTTCCCCCAGGGGATTCACTTAAAAACAAGTCCCGGAAACCAGCTCCAGGTAACAAAGCCCAGATACAGGGGTGGGTCAGGCCAGGTGGAGACATCGATCAGTGGGGGGTTACATACTGTCTCCCTAGCTACTGTCTCCCTACCCCGCCCTTTGGGAGCCTTTCTGGCGCCAATCCTAACCAAGGTGTAATAGGCTGGGTCAAATGTCTACTAGGGTAAATTGTAACTCAATTGGTCACCTAGCATCACTGTGGAGTTTCCTGTGTGTGTTAAAATCTCATTGGTCACCTGTGCGTGGCCAGCCCGACGGCATGGCCTTTGCTCTTAAAAGCTAGACTGTGAAACAGAGAAGGGTCACCCTCTCTTGTAAGAGGTGCGTCCCTGAACGTTCGGTTAGATTCTTGATGCTTGGCACGAAATAAAGCTTTGCTTGACCCTCGCTTTACATCAGTCTTGCTCCTTTAATTACGGACCCATTATTGGGGCATAAAAAGCTTTAACACTAACTAGCTGTTCTGGCCAATGGAGCGGACTGATGGCCTTTGTATGGACCAACTCTCTCTCTTGACTTCCTTCTCTTCTATACAAGTATACTAGTCATGTTTTCTTGTTTACTACTGATCACTTTCACCTTTGTGGGTCTCTTTGACACATCAGCATGGACACCCACACAGGACTGTGACCTTCTTGCTGATGGCTGTGATGCATGGTGTCTAACATGGGACGTGAACTCAGGATTGTTGAAGACACGGACACTGGTTCTTTAGCACCCTTATTCTTTCTCTTTTTGCACAAACTTTTCCATCCCTATAAGAGAGGCTCTTTGTATGTCTTCCTCTGTCTTCTTTCTTCTCACTCCTCCTCTCTTTGGTCTTTCTGTGAGCATAAAATAACCACCCATTGCTGACAAGGATAAAGCCAGTTGCTCTGTATGAAAAAAAAAAAAAAAATTGAAGCCATTCCTTGTGAAGGAAATTAAGCAAGACAAATATTTAGTACCAAGTGACTATATTTTTAAGTGCCTTCAGGCCCCAAGTCATCAGTCTTCAGATGTTCCATCTATAATTGTTTTTTTTACCAGCACCCCTTGAAAATTCTTTTCTCTTTTTCATCCTTCAAAATTCCGTTCAAATGTCACTTCCTGCAAACCCTTTACTGATATCCTGAGGTAGTCTCCATCACCCCTCCTAGAATCTACAACAGAAATCTGAACTCTAGTATAGTACGTCACACATTATGTTCAATGTAACTAAATGTTTGTGTCTGTGCCTCCTCTGTGCTAAAATAAGAGTTGAGTTTTGTTTCTTTTATTTTGCTTTGTCCTTCTATCTCTAGCAGCTAATATACAGACTAGCCCGATATGTAGATATAGAGGCTCAATTTTGTTGTTGTTTAATTTTATTTAGATAAATGAATGGTCACTTTGGCTTTAAGAAAAAAGGTTCATTCTTACTCAATTTGTATTCTATTTTTGGAATGGGATTGTTTTCTACTATTCACTGAAATTTGAGGTATATTTTTTCGCTGTCCTTTGAGCTATACAGATTTGATGACAAATGAACATCTTAACATTGAAATTGTTTCTATGGAAAGATATGGTTCATTTTCCAGTATGTTCAAACATACACAAAAGAATAGAGCTTCATTCAGAACTAGATGGTCATTCCCTTTTCCTTAATGTCTGCCTTTATTCTAGAGTTTCACCCCATACAGAATTTATCTCATTCTCTCCACTCTCCCATGGTTTATAGTTTGGCTTTCTGTTATGTACCTTGCAATCTGCCTTGAATCCATCATTTATGTATCTTCCCTGTCAAATCTGTTTCTCAGAGGATAACCACTATGCATTTTTCATTGTTGATTTTTCACAATGGGGTTTCAAAGCACAGTATACAGAGTAAGTGTTCAATAAATGGTAGGCTGAATTTTTCTCTGCACAGTTAGGAAAAAAAAGCTCAATAATTGAAAGTAGAGGAATGTTGGCATTTGATTGAAATACTGGGGATTTGATTGAATATTGGGGATTTTTTAGTCCCAGGTTGAACAGTGCCTAGTTTCCTATCATTTGCCTTCTGAGCTCCAAATGTCTAAAGTCCAGGCTCCACAGGCTCTCTTCCTTCACTTATCCATCTTCTATTCTTTCTCCAAAGATGAAAAGAAAAGAAATGAGACAGTCCTGTTAAGAAAGCTTTCTTTTTCATCTTTCTTGTTCTTATGTGGGTGCTTCATTATGAGATGTCAATTGTGCAACACTCTAGAGACCTGTCTTCTAAGGACAAAATGTTCTAGTCATTCTGGTATTCAAAAGTGTTGTTTTCTGCTTTTAGGCTATAGTGGTGGCTGTGTTGTCATGCGAGGAAAGAGTCCACCTGGTCGCTGGGAAGTGAAGGACTGTAGACACTTTAAGGCAATGTCCCTGTGTAAGCAGCCAGTGGGAAAACGGGAGAAAATGGAGCAGGAAGAAAGATGGCCATTTCACCCCTGCTACTTGGACTGGGAATCAGAGCCTGGCTTGGCCAGCTGCTTCAAGGTGATGCCTAGGGTACCTAGGCATTCTCAATGGGATGAACATTATTTCAGTTTGATCCATGTATCCCAAATTCCCTTACTCCAGAACAGTGCCTGGCACAGAGCAGCTACTTAATATATGTTGACCATTTCTGTCTTTTCAGTTATATTCCAAAATAATCTTAATTCAAAAGACTGACGTATCCCTGGAGATACTGAGGGTCTCTTCTTGAAGGCTAATGTCAGGGCTCCAGTCAATATTTTTCTTACTGCATAGTACCAAATGAACAAGGCAGATTTTCATTGGGTATTGAAATGGTACAATTCCATAGTTTGTAAGAAAATGATTAGTCTTTGTTATGGAATAGTACCATTCTCCTGCTATAAATAGCTTTTGCAGCTTGCCAGACACCTGAGGATCAAACAAATTAAAACACACAGTTGATATATATGCATGTGTGTGTATTTATATACATGTGAAAAAATGTGTGAAGAAACATCTTTTTGCATATCAGTTTTAAATCCTAGATATAAATCAGTACTTACAATCTTCTTGTCATGAAACATCTGTGAATGCATTCATTTTAATGTACGCATGCACAATCCTACAATAAATTCATCAGGTAAAAGTGATCTCACAAAGCAGTAAGTTAAACCTTAGAAATTAGCAAACTGAGGCAGCAAAATGAAGTGATTTGCCCAAGATCACAATTATTTATTGACAGAGTTGGAATAAATCCCTGGTCTTGGGACCCCCATTCCAGTGTTTTTCCTACTATATATGACCCTGACATGTCAACAAATGTATGGTGTGTTTGATGGGCATGGTGGTGGGATTGATGTACTTTAAGTGATTCAAGAAAGGGTTCCCAGAGAAGGTAAGTTTTGACATATAATTTAAAAGATGGAAAGGCTGTGCTGTGGCCCACAGGATTGGGAAAGCTATTCATTCTGGTCACAGCAAATCAGAGTCTGGTGAAGCCTGGTGGCAGGGTGCCTGCCTGGCATCAGAGACTCTGGCATAATGTCAGGCAGTTAAAAATGAGGAGGGCACAGAGGCCTCGGATCTGGAGTTCTGTGTTTTTGGACCCTCACCCTTGATCCTATATAAAGTCAGAAGTAGACTGTTCATTTGATAGACGTCTTCCAGCTACTGTGAAGACAGCTGAGAAACAGCAGAGAATTTAGGCATAGCAAAGACCCAAAGACCTTAGTAATATACCTGCCCTAGTTCCCAGGTCTCATTTCTCATTCCCTACTGTGGGTCAGCCAGATTCATGATCATTCCACCAATTCTAATTTGTCAGAAGGCAATCTGGTGAGATAGAAATTCATGGGCCCTTGAAGCAAGAAGCACCAGATCTGATCCGAGCTCTGCCTATTTGTAGCTGTGTGACTAGAGATTTGTAACCTCTCGTAGCCTGACCTCATCGCTTAACAAATATTTATTTAGGTACACGTATATGCCAGTTACAGGAAATTTAGAGGAAAAAAAAGAGTCCTCAAGGAGCTTATTTATAAAATTGAGCTCATTATATCCTCCTCATGAATTTGTTGTGGGAATAAAATGAGATAGTTTTACGATGCATAGACACATTCTAGTTCAATAAATGTTATTTCTCCCTACTTGGTCAAGCTTTTAATATAGAATAATGACAATTATAATACTGTTATTTTCTTGTCCAGAATTAAACAGCCTCACCTTATCCATGATAGTGTCAACTTTTTTCTGTCCTACTAAACCAGGTATTTCATAGTGAAAAAGTCCTGATGAAAAGAACATGGAGAGAAGCAGAAGCATTTTGTGAAGAATTTGGTGCTCACCTTGCAAGCTTTGCCCATATTGAGGAAGAGAATTTTGTGAATGAGCTTTTACATTCAAAATTTAATAGGTAAATACTTGTTAATTTTAAAAAAATGCAATCAAATTTTCTATTTCCCAGTAGTGACTTATTAGGGATGAGTATCCCAAATATTTGTTTAAAATCTCAAGTATTTGTTTTAAGCCTAAAACCAACTAGCCATTAGTTGTGAAAGAAAAATATATACATATGGTCTTATATTTATATTGCACCAAGTTCTCATTCCATAAAACAAAGAACAAAGTGGCAATCATTTTGATATTTGAAATCTTTCCTATATACCTCAAATCAGAATTTTAGAGCTTTTCTGCCAAACTCAAATTATCTAGCCCCATGATTTTCAAAGTGTTGTCTGAGGATCCTGAGAGTCCTGGAACCCCAAGACCAGGAGGGGACCAAGTGGGCAGAGGCCCTATTTCCATCACTGATCACCAGCTCCACTTCTGCTTCTTTTGTATAAAATAGGAGTCAATGTAAGATTTTGTTTGGGAAAAATTAAAAAAAAAAAAAAATCCCACTGATTGAAAAAAAAAAAAAATTCAATCCAGGTCCTAATTTTACATTTGAGGAAACAGGCATTCACTTGTCAGTATCAATCTTGTGAGTTTCAGAATCTTGAATTACATGGAGTTAGAAAATTAATTTAATTTAAATTTGAAGAAACGTAAAAGGCTTGTGCTACCTTTTACCCAGTGCAAAAAAATTCCTTCCACTATATTCCTGTGGTCACCTACTATCTGCATAATTCCTTTCAGAGTGTTCCTTATTTGGGAGAAAACCCATTCCCTTGTTGGAGGCTGGGTTCAAAGATCAACTTTCTAGTAGCCAGAGCAATACAGATCAAGTTGGACTGTATTTTTGAATATTTGAAGACAGCCATTATGTTCTCTTTTAGTGAATCTTCTCATCCATTGGCATCTTTCTCTCCAATGTTCTTGTCAGTTAGCATACATTTTTGGACTATCTTCCATGGGAGGGATACTTTTATATGCAGAACTGGCTAGAGAACGCAATAGACAAGACAGACAAAAGTCCTGCCCCAAGGCAATATGGCTCCATGGCTCCATACATTTATTTAATAAAAACAAATGTAACACCAGGTACTATGCTCCAAGCTCTGGAAATCTGGAGTCTCAATGAAACACTTGCCTGAATTACAGAGAAAATCCCAAACTATTTTTTGAGGAAAATCCTGGCCTTCCCCATAAGTTTCCTTTAGGACACTCCAAAAGAAGACTAATATGCAATTACCTATCAAATTATTCATCTCTAGTCTCCACAGTAATGACCTTAACAGTAGGAGACTTTGACAACATCTCCCCATGTGAGTCTTACAGAGTACTGTTGGTGAAATATGTTTGCAAAAAAGGCACAAACCTGGATATTTGCCATATGCTTTAGCATTGTAAACGCTTCTAGAAAGAAGCATTTTCTTTGACCACAAACCTCTTTTTCTGAGGACACTTATCAACATCCCATGGAACTGTAATCTCTGTGGGAAATGCTGATCTAAACCATATTTCCCAAATCTGGCTGATTCTCACACTCATTTGGGACACCTTTTGACACGAAGCACTCTGGTCTCACACCAGGGCTGCTGAGTCGGATTCTCTGAAACTGAAGAAAAGTTCAAGAACTTCCGGATTATTGGACTGTAAGTCTGGTGTAGGGCCACAGATTTAAGGGATATGAGATAGTCTCCATCATCCTAAATTGTAACTTTGCTTCATGACTTTAGCCCCTTGCAAAACATCCTTTCATACTTGAGCATAGTGAGGTTTGCTATATGAAATAACCACACGCAACTGCTTCCAAATTTGCTGTAAAATCAAATATCATTCTGTCATTTCTATTTATGTAAGTTCTCATACTTGAAATTTCTTGTGGAATTTAATGCCAAGCATCTATCAAATTATTAATCTTTAGCACTTAATCAGAAAAGCTGTATTATTTTGTATCAAGACTGCCAGGAATTTAACAAAATCTCATGCTTGGTTATAGCAAATAAACCAGTTCTCATAGTGGCATGCATGCTGCTTCTTATGGCACTGCTTTTAAATTTCTATTTTATTATTTATCATATTATTAAAAATTATACAATTACAGGAAATTGATGAAGAGAAAATTAATACCATTTAGAAACCAATACATTTCAGGAAAAATGTAGAACTCTGAATTCAGTAAGGAAAGAAATAAAAAGTTCTTAAGGCAGGAGAGTGATATGAATGTCTAGGTCAAGGATGTTAAGATACCTGGCTTAACCTTAAGGCAGCACTTTCCCCTCCACAACCTTGCAAACTGTAAATTGCAATAATGGCAATCACCAACCGGGCCCCAATTATCTCACAGATTTCTAAGTCATATTTTCCTTTCATTTGTATTGTTCAGGCACAATAGCTCACATATCTGAGAAGAGGATGCTTCAGAATAGGCTTGCTTCATTGTACTAACGAAAATAAAGCATCTGTCATGACTTCTGAATCTTTTAAATCTTTAATTCTCCAAATTATTCTCAGAAAATTATCTTAGTGAGATGGTTCACTGTACAATTAGACTTTATTGGTTGATTTATTGAGTACTCTGTGGTTTGATGTATTTGTCCTCTGCCTAATTGTAGGAAAGATGGTTCTCTGTGGGGATTCTCGCCAAGTCTAACCCAGTGGTGACTACTGAAGTTAATCTACTGTGCCTCAGACTGATTTGCTATGAAATTATTTATGTTGGGATCTGAAAAAACAAAAACCAAAATCTGCTGTGTACCTTTTATTAAAGGGGGTGATGGTAATTAACTTCCAAAGAATATAGGAACATTTGACAAAAAACAAATCGAAGCATAGGAAAGTGGTAAATACACATAGCAAAGTAGTAAAAAGTCCTCTAGGGAAAAAGACGATCCAAAATTTCTTACCAACTTGCTTTCATGTGTTCTTATCCTGCTTAAAATGTGTTGCCATTCCTAATGAACATGAGAAAGCAGTGTTCTCAATCCCCCAACTATAGGTCGCCAGTGAGCACACCATACAAGCCAAGAGAAATAGGAAGCCAGGCTAATTTTCTCTATATTCATCTCAGAGCTCAGGTTTTGCATGTAGGAAATGCTCAATAAATGTTTGCTAACTGATCAATCCTGCCAGGAGTATCAGCTGTTTCCTGTGCACATAAATACTTTAAAATATTTCTTGAGCCTATTACATTATGTTGTGAATTCAGTAGGAAGAGCCAAGGTTTTTTTTTCTCTTCACAGGACAGAAGAAAGGCAGTTTTGGATTGGATTTAATAAAAGAAACCCACTGAATGCTGGCTCGTGGGAGTGGGCTGATGGGACTCCTGTAAGTTTTTCCAAACTGAAGACAAGGAAGTGAATTCAATACAGAGGGCCCTGGAACACTTTGGTCAACCAACCAAGAGAACCTGGAAGTAATGACTGTATTTCCTGTGACTCAAACCCAGATCAAAACTGTATCAAATCTTGGTACCATAGGAGTTATTTCTGCAAAGTCCTGAGAAACATTCACTAACCATGTAGTTCTGAGGCCAGCTGTAGAATCTCATCCTGGAAAGGAATCAAAATCTCCAAAAACCCCCAGACTATCTCCCAAGTGAAAAGTCTTGAGAAAGAAGCAACTATTGTTTAAAATAATATTGGGCTTTCTTTACTGCACCTTCCCTCTCTAGCTTAGCACCTAATTATAGGAATGTGGGACCCTTGTCCAGATCACAATGAAAAGAACCATTTTGGTTTATCTCTAAAAGTACAGAAATGCCAGCCTTAGAAATACCATCTCCTTCTCAACCAGAGCAAGTTTTTCAGTTGGGGGAAAAAACTTGCTTTTCTTTCAGCCTTATACTTGTAAAAAACCTCTTTGAAGGAAAGATGGAAGTCACTGTGACATTTTTTTTTCATGTGCAATGAGGAATTCTCCTATTTTCCTCAAGATGATAGGGGAAAAATGAAGCCGTATCCCAGATTGAAATAAGATCCATCTGAGGACACATGCAAAATCAACGTATTCAGTTACACCTGTGAACTAGGAGGCCAACAAGAGTTGGCAGTGAGCACTTAATGAAGCTCCTATTTATTGAGCCCAAATTATATTGCAGACAAGGGTTGAACGCACTGCCGCATGATCTCATTTCACCCTTATAATGATTCCGTGCAGTGGTTATTAGAATGCTTAAAGAGTTTGCCTAAAATAATGCATAGGAGACCCAGGCCTCCAAAGCCATGATGTTATATCTCCTAGCTGGGAAATATCAGCAGCCAAACTTGGAAATAGTAAAGATCAATAGAGAAAAATGGTCTCTAGCCCCACTAGAGAAAATTTATGGCAAGGAAAGGATCCGTGGAAAACAATATGTGGAAAACAAACATAACAGGATATGCTAGTTAAACATATAACACATAACACACACACACACACACACACACACACACACACACACACACACACATATATATATAAACATTTCCACCTCTGTTCCACCACTGCTTCTCTGAGAAGGGTATCAGGACCCGAGAGTAAGAAGAGACCTTAGAGATCACCTGCCCCCTCCATCTACTATGCTATCAAAGAAACTGAGGCCCAGAGAGCAAAAGAAACTTAGCAAAAGAAACTTAGCAAGGTCCTCCTGCGGCATAAATGGCAGTCACCACATGGCACAGTTGGGTGGTTAATGTCAGTGTGGCACCTGGAAAATGAAATGTGATTTTATGTAGAGGTTGAGAATGCTTCCTTTTGTTTTAGTAAAACCATCTTATTAGTGATTGAGAGGAATAGACAGTTTGGTTCAGAATAAAGTTTGGTTCAGAGATAAAGCCATGAAGCAGTGCATGGAGTTGCTCACTACCACTCCCTACAGGACAAAACAAATCTTCAAACTCCCACTATTGTCTGAATCTGAGCTTACATATTTTTAAGTTAAAGGAGTTGTTGTGCAGTTGTGTACGTGTTTGAGGAGGAGTATAAATGTTTCAAATATCCTCTTTTTTCCAAAGTTTTGCTCCAGTTTTAGCTGTGGTCCATCCACTCTTCTGTCAGGTAGCCGTTAAATCATTGAGAAGACCAAATTTTTATTTAACATCCCTCTCACCTGACCAAACATGGAAAGCGTTGGATAGTTTCCCAATTAAAGCTAGCTATAATTTAGAATTTAGTGATTAAAGACTAAAAGCTTAGTGTATATGCGAAATAAATCTACATCACAGATGAGACCCAAATCTGACAGATGAGAGCCTTCCAGAAGTTTACCCAGGGTTCCAGGGTACCAGGGCTAGTCTGTTGTGACCAGTGAGACAACCATGAAAGTTCAGAAGTTTGGGTCTGATTTGTTCCTTCTGGAGAAAGGAATTGCTTGCCTCTTTTTAAGAAAAAAAGCATCTTTAAGGAAAAATGCTGGTTTGGTTAGTTTGTTCTTCACAAATGTGGACCAATCTTTAACTCCAATCTTATCCAAACATCTTAAGCTTCCTCCAGAAGTCTGTGGTGATTTATTTACAGAGATGTCTCTTTTGATCTTTTGAACCTTTTTGTGGGGGATCATCGTTAAGAAATAACAAACTTCATCTGCTGCAGGTTGTCTCTTCATTTTTAGACAATACTTATTTTGGAGAAGATGCAAGAAATTGTGCTGTTTATAAGGCAAATAAAACATTGCTGCCCTTGCACTGCAGTTCCAAACGTGAATGGATATGCAAAATTCCAAGAGGTAAAAATATTAAGATCTTTACTATATGTTGCTTTCTAATAATCTGCAGCACTTTTCCAAGTGAAGAGTTACAGAAATCTAAGATTTAAACATCCCGGACTACAGTACCAACAACCATCGTGACAAACCAAATTGTACCATTTTAGCAAAGAATGTCTTATAAGGGAATGAGAAAAGTAACACAAGAGCAGTATGCTAGTTTAATTACTAGGAAATGAGGATAACCAACTATATTGTGGAATATGGTATTTTTCGAGTACAACCTGGAAGAAATGTCACTGTGACATTACAAGCAAACAAAATTACTTGTCAAATGAGTGAGTGAAAGAACCTAACACCATGTGTGACACACAGAAGGCCCTTGACAAGTGTTCGCATCCTTTCTTCTTTAACCAGAGGCCTCTTGTGAGCCTCCTCTTCAAGTATAAGAACTAACCATATTTCAAACAGCACGAAGTACCTGGAAATGGTCTCTTTAAAAGCAAAGTACAAAATACCATGTTTAGAGCTGAAGTAATTCAGAGATGGCGTCCTTGCAAAGAAAGGTCACTCAAGGTGGTTTGCTTTCACTTTGCAGATGTGAGACCCAAGATTCCACCCTGGTATCAGCATGGTAAGAACTATCCTGGCAATTCTTGAATTTCTAACTACGTGCTATTATATACCATTACTGTATTATTACACTCCTCCAATCGAGCCTCTCTTCTCTTAAGTCAATCTAGAACTGATTTGTTCAAATTAAACAATGGTCAAATTAATAAAAGTCATTAAATGATGAAAGATTCGTATTATAGCTTAACACTGTTTTGTGACACGTGATTTTAAAATATGCTTTTATCCCAGATCTTGCAATACAAATGAAATTCCTTAGATGAGAAAAAACAAGAAAATAAGCAAATTATATGCTTAGTAAAGTGTGTGTAAATATACTTATTTATGTATAACACACACACACACACACACACACACACTTTTTTTTAATGCTAAGTGACCAAATTACAAATTTAGGGGTCAATCATAGCATAGCCTATTTGTCTGCATTATATCAGTCAATGGATTTTGCATCATTTGCATTGGTTTTTGTTTTTTTGGTTTTGTTGTTTTTCAGATGCACCCTGGCTCTTTTATCAGGATGCGGAGTATCTTTTTCATACCTATGCTGCAGAATGGCCCTCCTTTGAGTTTGTCTGTGGCTGGCTGCGTGGTGATCTTCTCACAATTCATTCTGCACATGAGCAAGAATTTATCCACAGCAAAATTAAAGCGGTATTTAAGTACAATTAACCATGAGAAATTCAGAACTTAGCTCCTTTCTGTCATTGGGGGAATTTTTTTTTATTTGAATTCAGACATTTATTTAAGTTTCATTTAAAGCCACAGATTTTTGAGAATTAATTTTCTTCCTGTTACAGGAATTAAGAGAAAATAATGGAAACACAGGTTTACTATGTTGGTCAATCATTTCACTTATCTTCATTCTCTATTAGCAATAGCTCTATGAGCAACAGTTATGAGTAAGTAGAGTTTTATTGCTTAAATGAGGTTCATCCAATCATCCAACACATACTTATTCAGTCTACTCTTCTAAGGGCTGGGGCTCTATCAGTGATTAAAACAGACCAAATTCCTGCCCTCAGGGAGCTTATAGTCTAGTCTGGGAAGAAAGACTGTAATCAATATAGTTCATAGCATTATATAATATTTTATTAAAAGATAAATAGATAAATGCCATGGAGGAAAATAAAGCATAAATGAGGGACAAGGTGTACGTGGGGCGGGAGGTGGTGGGATAGTTCATGTGCATGGCTATTTCAAAGTTGAATTTTACTTATAAGAATATAGTACTTTTAAGTCTATAAAGACTCAGTATTCAGAAAATGATAAGGAGTGTTTTTCCATTTCAATTTAAGATAAAGACTTGGACAGTCTTTGAGGAGCTAGGCCAATTGGAAAGGAGCATGCAAAACCTGTTAAATAATGAAGAAGACTACCAAGGAATAGTGTACGTTCTCAGTGTATTTCTTCAACAGGCACTTACTGAGCATAGGTATGTGTCAGGCATTGTGATATTTGTCAAAGACATAAAAATGTCAAGAACACAAAAATGAGATAGAGTCTCTGTTTTTAAAAAGCTGGAAATAATAGTAAGTGAAAAGGGAGCAACATGCACAAATGATCAACATGCCACCAAGGGGGGAAACTCACTCCCATTTTCCCTAGGAAATCTCTGAAAGTAAGAAAAAAAAGTTTTTTCTTTTCCATAATTTAACATTATTTCACAATCACCAGGAATCCTTTCTTGAGCTATCATCTTTTTACATTTGTAAGTTGATTGTGAAAATGAAGCTGTATATTAAAAGCATCTTTGGCATGTAAGAGAAATGTCTTCCCTTACAGCTCATGGACCTTTTCCATTTCTATAATCCTGTTTGATGCATAGACAGTCTGCAAGGTGCAGGTAGGTCAGGACTACTACTGAGCTGTAATGGAAAAAGCTAAAAAACAGGGGTGTTGGGTAACAACTCCACAGTCCTATAGAGTCTCAGTGATAGACCAACCACAAGAACAAGATACTCCCCACTATTAGCTTGTGTGCTAAATTTTTTTTACCACCCTTCCTCTAGTATAAATGGAACACTCAAGCCAAATCCATTTTAAGCATCAGCATGTCAGAAAATACGTTTGTTTCTTTAACAAAACAACAGATTCCTGGTGGCAATAACAAGACATCAGGTCAATGTCTGAAAACCAGTTCATCCATCGATAGGACAAAGTGCATGTCTCAAATGGAACTGATTTTTGGCCAATACTTATAATTGTGTCTGGCACTGCATTCAGTACTAATATTTAATGGCATTTAATCTTTCCAAGGACTCTCTGAGGGAAGTCTATTATTAGTACATTTTACAGTTAAGGAAGCTAAAACTCCAAAGAGGTGAAGCAACTTGGTTACTTCCACAGCAGCTAAGTGATAGAATCTGGAAGTGAACCCAGGCCATCTGACTTACAAGGTTATTTAAAAACCTTCTGCTGGCAGCAGAACGGCAGTGTAGGGGGAATATAAGAGCACAATGTCTTCGTTACATAAAAATCAAAAAGAGTTCTAAAATCCCTCTCCAAAAGATGGTGCCAGCTCTGTCTCAGACAAGAGCAATGAAATCTTCTTTAGCTCTTTCCAGTGGAGCTCAGCTCCTCTAGGAGTATCTGCAGGTCTTCTCTCTTCACCTTTCCCTGAATTCACTCTCCCAATTATTAGTGGTTGGCAAGCCAGTGAGGATGGCAGGGTTAATACCTCCTGTAGAAGAGAATAGTAAAATCCATGGGTTTAGCTGTTTGAGAGCTAGTGCCATGACACTGGTTGAGGACTGGACCTAGTTGTGATATCAAACCAGACAAACCTTGTGGTGTCTTACATGGCAAAATTGCAACACGGTCTGTAACCATGTTGATACAGAACGCTCTGTCAGTATGATGCACGAGCAGCTGACTAATCTAACACCACACTGTACTACAAAAGACAATTACTGGATGGTTTTAAATGTGTAGACTGGAAAGGGGCAAGGGACCTACGGGAAAAAGGTATCAATTTAGAAAGAAGAAAGCTGTATATTCCCAAAGCAGTTCTTATTATCACATAATCTATGGCTGTGTTAGGTGGTAGTAGTGACATTTATGGTGACCATTTACACTTCATGAGTAAGAAATTCCATATTTATGAATGTCCTACTAGAATGAGTCTGTCCAGAAAGTTTTTTTTATTCCAGGATGAGGAACTAAACATGTAGAGATCATGCCACTCACTTTTGTGGCATACTTGTATCCTGTAAGTGCAGGAAGAATCAGAATAGTAATTAAATATTGTTTAAAGATTTTATTTATTTATTTGAGAGAGAGACAGAGACAGAGATAGTGAGAGAGCATGAGCAGCAAGGAAAGAGAGAGGCAGACTCTGCTGAGAAGCAAGTCCAATGCGGGGTTCAATCCCAGGATCCTGGGATCATGAACTGAGCCAAAGGCAGATGCTTAAGCTTGACTGAGCCACCTAGGTGCCCCTAATTAAGTATTTTTAGTATTACATTTGTGTTGTATAGTTTCTCTATAAAGAGTAGTAACTCAGAAATGTGAAAAGCAAAAATAGCATTTAGTTGGAAAATAAAAGAACTATTGAAAAAGAAAGCTGGATGCAATTTTTTAAATCTGAAGCAGATTTTTTTTAAAACAAGATGTTTCTATCTTGAAAAAGTGGTTAGTCAGTATTTTCTCTTTGAATAACAGAATACCACAGGCATGACGAGAGTGAATTTTTTGAGTACTTCTTTTTTGAGCTATCATTTTGGTTAGATTAATGCCAAAAAAGTAAAGAGCCATAAGCACTTTAGGAGTTGTTTAACATGAACTGCTAGCCAATTAATCCCCTAACATTTTTATGCTGCATTGTACAATATTTGCATTTCAAAATTGCAAGTTCTTCTTATTTTAATTTCATGTCTAGGGGCACCTGGGTGGCTCAGTCGCTTAAGCAACTGCAGTTGGCTCACGTCATGATGCCAGGGTCCAAGAACTGAGCCCTGCATCAGACTCCCTGCTCAGCAGGAAGCCTGCTTCTCCCTCTCCCTCTGCACCCTTTCCTTGTGCTCTCTCTCTCTCTCTCTCTCATACTGTCTCTGGAATAAATAAATAAAATCTTAAAAAAAATAATTTCATGTCTAAATACTTCTAGCAAAAATATATCAAATGTATTAGTCATCCTCCAAAATATAGTGTTTTAAACCCTTAAAATAACTTAGTTTTGATATTTTTGATGGAAACATTTGAAGACATGACAGGTTACTCTTCCTTACATTATTTCAAAGATCAATTACTTCATAGATTATGTTGCCTATTGCTGTATTTTATTTTTTTAATAAGTATTCTTCCCATATGATGCTATCTATAATGACAGTAATAAAACATAGCTCATGTTATGAAATCTGTGGTCATATTACATTTTTTCTATGAAAGAATATTAATCAGTCTTTTTTTTTGTAATTTGATACCTAAGCTAAAATTTACAACACCTATTTTTCACCATGGATTTTTTTTTCACCCTGGAAATCTTCTAGCTTGTCCTTCTAGCTTGCGGTTCTATTCCGTATCACAAAGGTTGTGATGTGCCATGTAGAGGATCACCATGCTGTAATTGAGGTGGTAATAAATATGTCACTTAACATGTAGTAGTTATCATTTCTCTTTAGAGGTCCTTAATTGGGACAGTGAACAATCGGGCCATGATTTCCACTATTGTTGCACATGAGACCTTTTTAGATTGAATGAAATTGTTGTGGTTCTCCCACTGAGTTCATAGCCAGTCTCAACGGACCCATTCCAAAGCCTGACAATGGGAATCTAAATTCAGCGTGTAAGAACATGTCCATGAAACAACACCTCAGGGATCCCAAATTATAGCTGTTCCATCTTGCATTATTCTCAAATTGCTGATATGGCAGACAGCCACACTGTTCAAGGAATAAAAATATCTGTTTATAAATTAAAATGTTAGAGAGCTATTAGATTCTGTTGTATGATGACCCAACATTCATGTGGAAAAAAATATAGGTATCTTAAAATGTATTCTCTAATTTTTACAGAAGAAATGAAGTATGAATTTAAATATACAATGCCTTCAAATTAACAGGTTTTTAGCTTAAAAATTAAGTTACATTTCACATACACACAATAAAGTATATTGATTTAGAGATCTTAGAAATCCTTACTGATTCTTCCTCTTTTATAGGTAAAGAGGGAGTTTCAATTTCCTGGGTTATAAGTCCAGTATTACATTTGCTGTAGTGTGTGTGTGTGTGTGTGTGTGTGTGTGCATGCACACATGCGTGAACATGCTGTTTCATTTTATACTTTATTGCACTGAGATCTGTGTGATAAATAATGGTACAAAATTAGTAAAATATAGAAATAATTTTCTGGTTGTTAAGCAGTGGAAGTTCTGTAGTATTCCTTTGTCCTATCTTGTGTCTCTCTATTAAAATGGGGAGGGTGCTAATACTCAAGTTTAAAAGCTTAACAATCAGGCTAATGCCAAAAATTCAAAATTCTTTTTACTATTGATGTCTTGGTGCCTTGAATTGTTTTTCAAACAGTGTGATATATGCAGTGAAATATAAATCACTGAGATGAGAAACCATTGAATTTTTAGTCAAAAAATAGGAGTCCACATCCTATTTTACTTTAAAATATTACTGTTTAAAGCCCTATTTAAGAGTTAGAAAATTTACTTTTAAATACATCGGGGAAGTTGTAAGAGAGATTTTCAATATTTGATTCCAATTTCCTACATAATGAGGAGGGACTATTTGGAAATAATGAAGTTTCAGGTTCTCTCAAGATGCTAGGCCTTAGTGTACTCTTCTTTAGGTAATTGAGTAAAATACTGAAGAATAGAAAGCTATTAACAGGACCCCATTAATCTTAATAGTGAAAAGGGAAAACAAGTAGAATAAAAGCTGACATTTTCTTTTTTTTTCTCTTTAATAGCTATCAAAGTTTGGTGTAAATTGGTGGATTGGACTTGGAGAAGAAAAAGCCAATGATGAATTTCGGTATGGAACTAGATCAATTTGCATTTTACTTTGTTTGACAGGTTTTATTTGCAGAATGATTGGATGAGATTTTAGTGATCAGTTGTTGAGTAGCCGTCAAACATTATCTTTAACTTATAAATTTTCATTTCTCTAACCAAAGATATGAGTATCTTTTTAATTTAATAAAAATTACCCCAGACTCCAAGAATGGTGTTGGAGATTAAACATACGGAATAAAAGAAGACCCTAAAATTCTTAATTTACCTATAGCTGGAGAGATGGAGCGCCAGTAATCTACCAGAACTGGGACAAAGGAGGACAAGGATCTATGAATAATCAGAGCCAGAGATGTGGCTTCATTTCATCCATAACAGGTTATTTTATTTATCTGTTTTTGGGTTTATAATACAAACTGAAAATTTTCAGAAGGCTTAAAGTCTCCTTTTCATTGCATTAGTTCAGTGAGAAGGTTTTGTTTGGCTAGCTTGCTTTTTAATTGAATGTGATGAGTTTCATTAGTCTTAAGTGTTAAGGATGGCCATTCCTACAGTTAACTCCAGCATTCATGTTCTTGGAAATGAATTACAACCAGATAAGTCATTCCTCATGCACCAGAACAGCACCAGAAATAGACCAAGGGAAACTGGTCAAAAATATGCCTGATAGATAAAAGCCTCTAAAAAATTTCAATATGGGCCCATTTTAAAAATCTCTTCTTCATGATTCAGTTATAATTGGCCAGAACTTTAACCCCTTGGAATTTCCTCCCCACTTTCCCATTTAAGAAAAATTTTCATTGAGTTCGGTATTTTTTTAATACTTGGCACTAACTGCTTTTGCCGTAGAACACCAACTACTTCCAGGCTGTATTTAGAAATACATGTACTTTTAAGATGGGTTTTTAAATTGAATTCAGTTATCAGTACAGTGTTATCCATCCCACTCTTTCCATCCTATAAAAGGTAATTATGTTCCTGACCTTTAATGGATTCATAAGGAACCTGTGCCCCAAATCAGGAGAGGGATAAATATGGAAAGCAAACCTTAGTGTAAGGGTTTCTGCAGGGAAAAGGAAAAACCACGTTGTTAATCAGCTCTCTTTTGCCAGCAGGTGTCACAACAGCCTACAGAAAGGCTGTTTTGTGATTCTGGAAGACTAGAAGCTACTTTGCATTAAAAATAGCATTCCAGCCCCTCCTTCAAAATGCCAACAGTTTTTGGCTTATATCCCTCACACTAGAAAACTGAAACTGCCTTTGCAATTTACATGCATCCTTGCCCTATTCTGGGATTTATAGCTTGAATGCTAATGAAATGCATTCTATAACCTTTACTCTGAAAATATAGCTCTTCTAAATTAAAATACATTTTCCAGGAGGCTAAGGACTTTGGGATATATCTTCCAGAGGGCATGTCTATGTATGCCTGTTTTTTTTTAAGGGTCAGTGTCAAAAACGGCTTCTTGCTTAGAAGTTACTGAGTTAATTTTTCAAAACTGTGTATTTTCTAAAGAATTATAAATTAGAAATGATCATTTATTGTTTTAGAATCTTTTTTCTCCTTATATTGAAGTTGAATATTTTAAAACAAAAATATTACTCTGCATTCTTTTGTTAATCAAACCAAATATTCTCAGAATTTAAATCAGTTCTGTGATTTCAACTGTAGTATTTTAGTTAGTTGGGGTTTGTTTGTTTGTTTGTTTGTTTTGCAGTTGCAAAATTTCTACATTCTTGAATTAGATTTACTGATTTAGCACCCTGCCCAGTTTGTTCTTATTGTTAGAGAACTCTACCATTAGCAGTTTAGTTGAATTTCTAGATTAAAGAAATTATGATAAACCATCAGCAGTCATAATGTGATAAAGAACACCTACTAAGAGCCAGCATTGTTCCATGTCATTTCTAACCCATTTACTCTTCTAGGACTATGGGCTACTGAAGAGTGTTCCGTTTCTATGCCTGGCATCTGTAAGCGAAAGAAGGTTTGGATCATAGAGAAAGAGGAAAATACCCCAAAACAACATGGAACATGTCCCAGAGGATGGCTATATTTTAACTATAAGGTAAATTCTTTTTCAAAATGTTGCCTTTGTTTCTGTTTTTTAGATGTTTGTTTTAGAACATAAACAAGAGTGGGTGTGGCTTTGAAAAACCAGGAGTTGTCCATTAGGACCTGGAATTTTTTTTGGTCACAACTTTCAAGATAGAGTTTTCAGTGTAGGTAGGAGCAAACCTCTAGGAATAAGGAAACAGCCGTGGCACCACCCTTCATTGGTATACTCAGTTTTGCTATTGACACAGTCATTCATTGTGCTGTGTGACTGTTTCTTTAGGCATGATGCATGCGAGCCGGTGTAACTAGGCCCTGCCCCCAAATGAGCTGTCAACTCCAGAGGGTACAGTCTCCATCTTCTCCTTTTGTGTCTTCCCTGCCTGGAGCAGGCACAGAGCTCTGCCCCGCCTTGTGAATTGACCCGCTAATAACGTAACTCAGTCAATGTCATCTTGAGCCTCATAAAGCTGGTGCTTCTATGCAGAATTGAATTTTTTTTTTAATTGCCAGTGGGGATATTGTAAACCAGATTTATTATTTCTGATACTGCCTCCAATTAAGGCCAAAACTTTCCCTTTACTTATGTTTTATAATAAAATAACTTTATAGACCTTAGGTGGAAGTAATTAAAATGCATCCTAAATTATAAATATTTCATTCTTTGATAATGGAAAAACCCAAACTGTGTCATAATTTAATATGTTAATAAGAAATTGCTCTTTGACTGTGGACAGTCAGTTTTCAATCTATATGTTCAGTTACACGTGGCAGAGCCTTTTCTCCGTGAACTTCTTCTCATTGCTAATTTGTGATATGGGGCCATTTGGATTTTACATGCATTTTTGAGCACCTAATATATATTTGGCATTGACTTTTTTAAATTGTGGTAATATTCACATAACATGGAGTTTACCATCTTAACCATTTTTAAGTGTATAGTGCAATAGTGCTAAGTATATTCACATTGTTATGCAATGAATCTGCAGACCTTTTTCATCTTGTAAAACTGAAACCCTAAATCCAATAAACAATAACCCTCCGTTCCCCCTCTCCCAGCCTCTGGCAACCACCATTCTACTTTCTGTTCCTAGTAATGTGACTACTTTAGATACTACAGATAAGACATTATTTATCTTTTTGTGACTCGTTTATTTTACTAAACAGATTGTCCCCCAGGTTCATCCATGTTAGAGCATATTGCAGAATTTCCTTCCTTTTTGAGACTAATATTCCACTATATATATATACCATATTTTGTTTTTCTACTCACCCATTAATGAACATTTGGGTTTCTTCCACCTTGTGGCTAAGAGGTTTTCTAGGTGATCATAGATACATATCTTATTTTATTTAATCGTTTAAATACACAGAATTGTTATTCCCTCTTATATATAAGAAGACCAAGACTAACAACATAGTGTGCTTTTTCTGAAACTTTACAGCAAATAAGTGTCAGGTTGAGAATCAACTTCAGGTTTTCTGACCTTTGAATCTGGTAGTCTTGTCTCTTTCCTACAGTTGTCATTTCATATGAGAATTTAAGAATTAGCCCCATGACACAATCTGGTAGCACTATGAGATATCTTCTAAAATATAGTTGTTTTCTAAAGCTTTATGGTATTGAGATACATTTTTAATAGTATTTTCTGTCTGATTCCTATTTTCCCAAACTATAAAATCTACCAGTTATACATTTCAATATAAATAATGTAGGAAGTATTCAACAGAAAACTAAGTTTTGAAGATTTTATTTATTTATTTCACAGACAGAGATCACAAGTCATACAGAGATCACAGGCAGGCAGAGAGAGAGGGGGAAGCAAGTTCCCTGCTGAGCAGAGAGCCCAATGCAGGGCTCGATCCCAGGACTCCGGGATCATGACCCGAGCCGAAGGCAGAGGCTTTAACCCACTGAGCCACCCAGGCGCCCCGAAAACTAAGTTTTAAATTAAAATCTTCGACAATTAGTTCTCTTTAAGTTATTCTACTGTGGTAGCATATATCTAAAATAAAATATGCCATTTTAACAATTTTTTAGTGTACAGTTCAGTGGTATTAATTACATTCACAATGTTATTCAACCATCATCTTTATTTCCCAAATTTATCATCATCCCAAACAGAAACTGTGTAACTATTAAGCGATAACTCCCAATCCCCCTCTCTCCAGCCCATGATGAGTTCTAATCTCTGAATTTGCCTGTCTAGATATTTCATATACGTGAATTCATATAATATTTGTCCTTTTGTTTCTGGCTTATTTCACTCTGCATAATGTTTTCTTTTTTTTTTTTTTAAGATTTTATTTATTTATTTCACAGAGAGAGATCACAAGTAGGCAGAGAGGCAGGCAGAGAGAGAGATAGAGGAGGAAACAGGTTCTCTGCTGAGCAGAGAGCCCGATGCGGGACTCGATCCCAGGACCCTGAGATCATGACCTGAGCCGAAGGCAGAGGCTTAACCCACTGAGCCACCCAGGCTCCCCCTGCATAATGTTTTCAAAGTTTATCCATATTAATAGTAGGTATCAGAACTCCTTCCCTTTTTATGACTGAATAATATTCCATGTCATATTTTGTTTTTCCTTTCATCTGTTGATGGACTTGGGTTGTTTCTACTTTCTGGTTATGGTGAATAAATCTACAGTGAACAGTGGCATTCAGATATCTAGTGGAGTCCCTGTTTTCACTTCTTTGGGGTATATATATCTAGGAATGGAATTGCTATATAATATACCAATTCTATGTTTAACTTTTTGAGGAAACAGTAAACTGTTTTTCCTGTGGTTAAACCATTTTACAAGCCTGCCAGAACTATATGGTAGCAATTTCTTCACATCTTTTTTTTTTTTTTTTTTTTTTAGGATTTTATTTATTTATTTGAGAGAGAGAGCATAAGCAGGGGGAGGGGCAGAGGGAGAAACAGACTTCCCCACTGAGCAGGTATCCCGGCTCGGGGTTCAATCTCAGGGCCCTGGGATCACAACCAAAGCCGAAGGCAGCACTTAACAGACTGAGCCACTCAGGTGCCCCTTCTCCACATCTTTAACAGCACTTGTTATTATCTTTTTTATTATTGCCATCCTAGTGCATGTCTAGTGTTATGTCATTGTGGTTTGATTTAGACTTCCCTAATGGCTAATGATACTGAGTATCTTTCCATGTGCTTATTGGCCACTTGTATACTATCTTTGGAAAAATGTCTATTCAAGTCCTGGGTCATTTGTCTTTTTATTGTTGAGTTGTAGGAGTTCTTTATATATTCTAGATATTAAGCTCTTATCAGATACATGTTTTGCAAGCATTCTCTCCTGTTCTATAGGTTGCCTCTTCTAATGTCCTTTGATACACAGATGTTTTAATTTTAATGAAGTCCAATTTATCTAATTTTTCTTTTGTTATTCATGCTTTTGGTGCCATATCTAAGGAAAGGTTGCCAAACCCAAAGTCATAAAATTTTACTTCTTATGTTTCTTTTAAGAGGTTTACAGTTTTAGCTTTTATATTAAAGTTTTGGTTTATTTTCAGTCAATTTTTGTACCTTGCGACTATTATAACAGATGCATCCTAGAGTGCTCTATATGGAAAAGCCACAAAGGAATGCCTAGCTTGTCTCAAAATCACACTTTTACTACAGATAGTGAGCAACCCCAAAGTGTGAACACAACTGTTTTAGTTACTAATCACTATTTCTCCTATGTATAAAAGAGGATATTTTAAAGAAATTCATAGCAAATCAAATCCTTGGCATTAGAGAAATAATTCTCAGAAACTCTCAATGGTTGTTTTGGTTCAGAACTTGGTTATTATCCTCTCCCCAAACTTCTTCATCTGCACAGCTGAACTCCAGTCCATAGTCTTGTGTAAGCATATGGAGTACGTATGTATAGAGGCATGGTAGCAGTGATGGTGGAGCAGACTCAGGGCAGGAGAGCAAGTGAATGCCTCCTTTGAAAGGAATAGAAAAGGGCATGAGTAAAGCACAAACATGCACACGAGAGGAGAAAGACTTTCTGAAGCAGGATTGGAGCAGGATTAAAAATCCTTGTGTAGCTTAAAATTTTAAAAAAATCTTTATTGATAACTAACAGCTAGATTAGTGGTTCACAGCCCTGATCAAATATTTAGAATCAGCCTGTGAGCTTTTTAAAAAATGTTAAGGTGCAGGGGCATCCTAATGATTCTGATTTAATTAATCTGCATTGGATCTATGTATCAGTGTTTTTTAAAAGCTCCCTCAGTTATTCAAATGGGTAGCCAATATTTACCCAGCAATGCAACAGTTGCACAGCTTAGTCTTTGAATCATTCAGAGGATTTGACTACAAAATACTGTCACAGCAGGCTACCTGAAAAAAGAGATCTTTCGCAGTGTGAAGTTTCAGGTTCCCCAAGTGTCCTCACCCACTGGGCCTTCCCCTACATTAAGATGGCTAAAATCCCACCATTTGAGCCTCACACCTTTGTCTTGATTCTATTTTTTTTAAGGGCAGTATTTCTGAGATTGCCTCATCTGTCATCTACACCTTGGAATAAGTGGGTTTATCAGATCATTAGAAAAACTGATAATAGGAGGATTGAAAATGGAGAGAAGGAGAGCCCCGTGGGGATGGCTCCCTTGATTAACAAAGTTACAGAAGGATAACTGCGAGGTAGCAATGACATTTTTCACATCACGTTTCTTTTGCTTCTTGTTTGTCATTTTCCTGGGAATAATTTTTTTGTTTTTTTTTCCTAAAAAAAAAAAAATCCTGGTTGGTTGACTAATTATCCACCTCTAAGAGTTTTAAAACTCAGCTACCAGAAGTTAAGCATCTTTTCTAATGTTTCATCAATTATCTCCTCTATGTTTGATTATATATGAGTCTTAACCTGGGATTACCCCTAAAAGAGTGAGTCATCCAAGACACTTGTCACAGCAGAGCTGTAAGCAGAAAAATTTCTAAGTGTGCATGTGCTTGTGTGTATAGTAGGTTAACTCTTATGCTTCTACTCACATATTTTTTAAAGATTGATTGATTGATTGATTGATTGATTGATTTGAGGGAGAGAAAAAGAACAGGAGCAGGGCTGTGGGGGGAAGTGCAGGGAGAAACAGACTCCCCGCTGAGCAGGAAGCCCAATGCAGGGCTTAGTCCAGGTACTCTGATCATGACTGGAGGGGAAGGCTGACATTTAACTGACTGAGCCATCCAGGTGTCCCATTCACATATTTTTATACAAGGACCTGGATTGAGTGCTAATGGCAGCTTTGCACATCTAGTTTGGAATTAGCCAAAATTTGATTTCATGCACAACATAGCTTTTCCTTTAAAAGATACTCTCCTCTTTTCTTAAAAAAAAAAAAAAAATGTATTCACATTATCAGCACTTTATTCATTCATTCATTTAACTATGTTGGATATTGATATTTTGATGGTAAGGAAAAACAAACAAAATTCCTTCTCTTTTGTAGTTTGCAGACTAGAGGGAGAACAAACATTAGCAAACCAATCAGGAGGGTAACTCTAGAACTGTAACACATGCGATGAAAGGGAGTTACATAGTTCTCTAAAAGTTTTTAACAGAAGAACCTGACTGAAGTAGTCAGAAGGACAGGAAGCATTAAAAGCAAGAGAGTATAGGGTGTGCTAAAGTCCTGTGGTGAGAGGGAATGGACCTATTGAAGAAACTAAAGGAAGCATAGAGAACTAGAATGTGAAAAGTGAAATGAAAAAGAGTTTCTGTTTTTATCCTAAGAACAATAGGAAGCCCCTCAAGGATTTTAACTAAAGAAGAACACACCAGGACTGAGTTTTGAAAAGAATCATTCATGCTACAATAGCAAAAACAGATGTGAGGAAGGCAAGGATGAGGAAGGTTTTAAGAGTGGTTGGGAAGCTACTGTAATAATCCAGGCAAGAGAGAAGTAGTTTGGGCTAAGATAGAGAAGGCAGAGACTGTGATGTGGCAGCAATGGGAAGAATGGGAGAAGGCTCTGAGAAATGGGATGTATGTCTAAATGGTAATTGAAAAGTGGATGGAATGGGAAGGCAAAGAGATTCCCAGGTTTCAAGCTTATATAAATACATGGTTGACTTTGCCAGTCAACATCAGTAAGAACACTGGAAAAGGACCAAGTTTGGGGGAAAGGTCATAAATTCCACTTTCAAATTTTGAGCTGACTTTGAGATTAAAAAAAAAAAGAATTTTATGTTCAAAGCTTGTTTGCAATACAGTAGGCTATCCTTAATTCCCGGTGATAATAAGAGACGTGTTAAACTTGATCACATTTTGCAAATTAGTTAGTAAGTAAACAATTTAAAATTAAGAGTGCTGTACTTCATCTTACTGCTTTGCTTTAATTACTAATCACACCATTTCAAACTGTGTTAGTAAATATGTTTTGGGGTTTGTTTGGCTTTTTTTTAGAAACGATGAGGTTGTGGTAATAGGAAATAGTCAAGCTAGTTAATGGTGGCTGAGGCAAACATGGGGGGATGGGGAGTAAGAGGGTAGGGTAGGGGAGCATGTGTGTGTTTTCTGGAAAGATTTATTGAGCTAACTGAACCAATGAGGTTCATTGGTATTTATGAATGGTTCATTAGTGTGACTATCTGAACACAAGGTGAATTCACATTAAATGATAAGACTGCCTAATAATTAGTGTGTGCCACTCATTGGACTTTGTAATTAGAGAAAAGAGACAAAATGAAAGGAAATAGATAAAGGAATAGTTGTTATAAAATTAAAATCCTTTAAAGCCAATTCTCTTTCTTTGTGAAGCAAACAAGGTAAAGAGTTGGAATTGGAAGAATTTGAAATGTACTTCTTCTGTTAGTTGGTAACTCCAGGCTTCATCAGTGTTTATGGTTTTTATCCTGAAAACAATAGACAATCCTTAATAGTTTTATTCATTATGTATGTATGTATGTATGTATGTATATATGTATTTATGGAAAATCCCTAATAGTTTTAAACTGAAAAGTGACATGATCAGGATTGTGTTCTGAAAAGAACTACCTGGGCACTACTGACATTTGGAGCTAGATAGGTCTTTGTTATGAGGGGACTGACCTGTGCATTACAGAATGTTTAACAGCATCCCTGTACTCTACCCACCAAAAGCGAAGCTCCCCCCTGGAGCTGTGACAACCAAAAATGTCTCCAGACATTACTGAATGCTCCCCTTTGAGAATCATTGGACTAAATCTAGAATGCCTGAGAATGTCATTTGACAACTACTTAGGGGTCTGTTGGCTGTTATTATGTTCCATAAATATTTACTGGGGAACTTATTCGTTGTGATGTTCAAAGAAGAGCAAGTCTCTGCTATTTAGGGAGTTTATGATGATGGGGAAGGATTGGGATTCAGTATATTTCTATACTGAAATATAGAAATTAAAGGATGAGGAAAGATGTCTTTCCAACGGAGGATGGGGAAGGATGCTCTCTCAAGTGTGGGCTTCCACACTAGCCTAGAATTATCTTGTAACTGGAGTTTTCTCAGTGGTGAAATCTTCAGATCTAACCTATCAATGACTGGGTTTGCCTGTGTTCATTGATAAGAGAATAGTTCACATGGAATATCCTTTGTTTACAGTCTCTCCTGACTTCTCTGGAACTTTGCCTGATCTCCTATAGCCTTTTTTTTCTCTCTCTCCCTTTCCCCTGACTCCACCTGGCCCTATTAACAAGTTTAAATTTCACTGACCCTCCCTGAACTGCCCAGTAGTTACTGTTCCACTTCTCACCCCATAATGACGAAACCTGCCATGCTACAGACATGATTGTCTCATGAGTAACAAACAATTCTCACTGCCAAATCCCACAGCCTTCTTTTTATGTTCCAGACACTATTGGCCACCCTCCTTTCTGTTTCTCTGTCCTAGGTTTCCTTGGGTCTGCCCTTGCTTTCCTTCCAACTGTGCTCGTTTTTTTGTTTTTTTTCTTTTCTGACTCTTCCTTGTGGACTTACAAACCACACAGCTAACTCAAGGAATTAACTAATTTAAATACCCGATGTGGTTTGATTCCCTAGTATTCCTCTCTCATTTAAAGTGAAGAAGTGGGGGCGCCTGGGTGGCTCAGTGGGTTAAAGCCTCTGGCTCAGGTCATGATCCCAGGGTCCTGGGATGGAGCCCAGCATCGGGCTCTCTGCTTAGTGGGGGGGCCTGCATCCTCCTCTCTCTCTTCCTGCCTGCCTCTCTGCCTACTTGTGATATCTCTCAGTCAAATAAATAAATAAAAATTAAAAATTAACAAAATAAATAAAGTGAAGAAGTGTTCTGTAAATAAAATTGAACTAAGCTGTTAATTGCTACCTCCAAGTTTTTTAAAAATTAAGTCTACTACTATACACTTCACAATCAGGCTGGCTCCTTTTTAAAAGGAATACTATTTTTCACTGAGCAGAAGACATTGTTCTGATATCCTGCATAACAAAACATATCCTTTCTTCTGTTCCTGCTGGATAGAAATGCATGCAAATATTGACTTACCCTAAAAGCTGGTCCTCTGTTTTACTTTCATACCTTTAGAGCAGCTCAAAGAAAAAAATGAGTCATTTCCACTACAGAAAATTATAAAGAATTCTGAAGATTGATCCTCAGTGTCTTTGGGAGGTTTTTAACTCTTTTAGAAAAATATGGAAATGAGTGCTTTTTCTGATGTTTTTCAAAAGTGCCTTTTGGTGAAAATCCCCAAAGACCCAAGTGATTGGAAGAACTGGACATCTGCTCAAGATTTCTGTGTTGAAGCAGGGGGAACACTAGTCGCCATCGAAAATGAGGTGGAGCAAGGTAGAGTACTCAATGTTCAATCAGGCAAAAATAACCATTTTGATTCAAATATTTATTTAAATGTTCCCCCAAATACTAATATTTCCAAATCTACATTTGCAGTATTATATTACTGATGACACATAAATTTTCAGTTTAACCTCTAAGGCTTATATCATGACATCTGTAAAAGTACATTGCATTGCTTATAAACTGCTGATTTTTGGAAGCTTTTGTCTCCCCAGTAGCAGTGGAAAAAAATGACATACTTATCATCTTTATTTCAAAATGGCTAAAATAATCTGAGGTATATTCTTTTATAATTGCATGATATAATTTTAGATCCCTTTAGATTTACCTGTACGCTTGTATTTGGTATTTAGGCAATTGTATACTTCAGTTTAAGTATAGTAGATAAATCCTCTTTTGTCTAGAAAGGCACTGAATGAACACTGGAAATAGTTTTGTTAATGATATGATGAAATCCCAGGTTTTGCCAGCTAATGTGTGTCAATTTAAACTGAAACAGATGTGAAAGAGACTGTATTACCTTAATAAGAACAAAGTAACAAATTCCTACATTTGATTGGTAATTAAGTTTTGCTGTCATTTAAAATCACAGCTATAAACAGAATTCAGTGATTACCCAAATGGTTTATATGGTATTAAATTTGATAATGTATTCATATTTTTCAGCTTTCATTACTATGAATCTTTTTGGCCAGACCACTAATGTGTGGATAGGGTTACAAAATGATAATTATGAAAAATGGGTAAATGGAAAGCCTGTGGTATACTCTAACTGGTCTCCATTTGATGTAATAAATGTAAGTTTTCAGATTTATTTTTTAGAAATTGTTTAGCAAGAGATCTTATTTGATACTTACTAAAGTGTTTTTTTATTTCCTATACTTTACAGGCATAAATTTTTAGAAGTCTGTTATCAATATATTAATTTTAATAATGCAATTACATGTCATTTTCATGTGTTCCATTAATGTAATTACTATCACAATAATTATTTATTTTGTACGTTATGAAGTGATCTGTGACCAGGTTTGCTAAACGCAAATAAAGCAATAATAGTGTTTGAATTTTTAAAATTGTCCTTAATAAAAATGTCAGTGTTATAATGCTTTATGTTACCATTTTTTTGAAAACATACATATCTTTTTAAAGATTCCAAGTCATAACACCACTGAAGTTCAAAAACATATTCCTCTCTGTGCCTTGCTATCAAGTAATCCTAATTTTCATTTCACTGGAAAATGGTATTTTGAAGACTGTGGAAAAGAAGGTCATGGGTTTGTTTGTGAAAAAATGCAGGGTAAGAAATAGTTGCTTTTTTATTCCTTTCATCTCTATGCCCCACTCTTCTCTTCCATATTTGTTTTACATAGTATATAACTGTCATTTTCATAGCTAACAGTGCCAGGCACTTACTTTTTGAGTTTTACATATAATTACTCATTTAATCTCCACTACCCCAGGATTATACCCTTTACTGGGGTTCTAAAGACTACAGAAACCACTTGAGAGATGACCACATTTATGCATCCATCTTGGCCACTTAAAAGGCTTTACTGCTTTGTTCTGGGTTTATGAGTATATTCAGGTAATGAAAAAGACATTAAGAAGATGTTGGAAAAGAACAGAGAAATAAACAAATATTTCCTGCTTTCTTGGAAACCTAAAAATGCTGGTGGCTAAATTGCCATCCATTGACCTAAAATGTCAGGCTAAATATGTGGCTAAATATGGCATGTAGCATGTTTCTAGAGCCGATGATCAGAACCCCCAGTGAATTTTGGCGTGAAATACAAATACCATACTATTACACATAGTCAGTAGGGTTGATGATCAAGGCGGATGCACTAGAAGTGACCTGAGTAATAAAAATAAAAACAGCAAGAACAACAACAATAGCTCGTATCTCATGCTTTCACCAAGTGCAAGGCTTCCCTGTACCATGCTACTCTAGAAGACCATAGTTTGTGGCAGGAGCTGGGTGGAACTCTGGGAAGCCTGTTGTGTATATACTTACTTGGAATATTAATTATATCTCTTAGTGTTACATGCATGTGAACTCTTTAATGCACTAAGTATCATCCCCAGAAAGGCAATTGCAGGAAGCCCCGTTTCCTAACTCACAGTTATCACTTAAACATAGTAATAGTCAGGAACTGAAAGAAGATACCCAGTCAGTTATAGCAAGAGTATTATGAGAAGAGTAGAGTCTTGTAGGGAAAGAAATATCAATATATCATGCACTCACACACTTATGATATACCTGCCACTGTGCCTTGGCTTCAGAAGCATTAAGGCAAAAAAGTAGACAAAAGTCTCCCCATTTTACAGATGAGAAAGTTGAGGCTTAGAAAAAGTGAATAACATATTTAAGGTCTCTCAGTTAAAGACAATGATTCTATTCTATGACCTTGATGTTGATCTCTACTTTAAATTGTCCACTTCTTTAAACTCTGACCATTTTCTCTCTCTGATATTTTTGGGACTAACAATGTATATGTTCTTTTGGATATAGTATAAATTAGCTGTGGTTGAGAGCATAGGCATTGGAGCTTACACCCCTCCTTCCTCACCTCGGTACATAACTGTCAGTGAAGTTTTTTATTGTCTCTGAACTTGATTTCCGCATCTGTCAAGTGGGATAATTACTGTCTCACAGTCCTTCTCTCTCTCTCTTTCTCTCTCTCTCTATATATATACACACAATGCTTAGCAAGTTGCCAGCATACTAACAAACGACAGTTGTGTCTATTATTATTTAAAAATATTATTTAACTACACAAATTTTTGTAGCCTACAATAAATGCCCAAATTCTGCTCTGCTTCTTTATTTGCCATATAAATATGTGCTTACATTGGACTTAGAGCCTAAAGTCTAACTGCCTGAAAGGTAAATATTTCCACATAACAGGGAGAAAAGGACAAAGTCAAGAGCCACAATTTGGGACTTGGTTTCCAATAGATATTTCTTTTTTAGGTCAATGGATGGCAAAATTATGTTGCTTAAAATCACTATGTCTTAAAGTTTGATGAAATCAATTACAATGAGAGAATTTTATATGTGTGAAAATACAGATACACAATGGGGGAAACAGTTAAATTGGTATTTAGGCCACATATATGAAAAACTTCAGTTACCTTAATCTTTCTAATTATTATCATTTTAAAAAATCTACTATGGTATTATACTGGGTTTTTAAACATTTTTATTTTTTAAGATTTTATTTATTTGTCAGAGAGAGAGAGAGCACAAGCAGGGGCCCAGCAGGCAGAGGGAGAAGCAGACTCCCCGCTGAGCAAGGATCCCAGTGTGGGACTCGATCCCAGGACCCTGAAATCATGACCTAAGCTGAAGGCAGCCACTTACGCATCTGAGACACCCAGCACATCCCTGTACTATACTGGGTCAAAAAAATAATAATAATTTTAGACTTGGTACATAGGCTGGCAAACAGACCTCTAGTAAAGAATAAACAGGTATAAACGTGTACTCCACAATTTGGTTGACAAATAGGTTAATTTCACTTTGGTTTCACAAAACATACTACTATTATGTTGAGGTCACATTTTCAGGTAAAAGTCAAATTCCCATTTTGCCATTTTTACTTGGCATAAAGAATCAACATTTACTGAGCACCTGTTGTGTTCCAGGTACTATACTCCAAATACTGAGTTCTAATGAGTGCCCTATAATGGTTATCTCTGAATTCTATCCACACCCCTCTACGGGGTGGATCTCTTATGGAACAGAAATTTGAGGTTCAGAGGGATGACATTTCTACCCAAGGTCACTTAGTCCTGTGTAGTCAGGACTAGCATTGATTTTCAGGTCTTCCATCCTCTCCACACCTCATCATGCTCTTTTTCAACCCCAAATGTAATAAAACCAGCTGGGAAATATCCCAGCTACTTTGGATCAGACAGTTCAGTTCACTTGTTTTTCTGTTTAGGATTTTCTAACACTAGCCTATCCTAGTACATAATACAGTATAGAACAAAAAGGCAAGTCCACATATTAAAGAGGAAATACCTTGCATGTAAAAACATAGGCTTCACTGTCACATAATCTGTCACTCATGAAAAAGAAAGCATCACTGATCATGTCTGGGAAAACCTTGCCTTTTAATTTGTAAATCTTGACTCTGACAGGTGACATATTAATAGTAAGTCTTTATGGAACTGTGTATATTTTAAGTGTTTATTAGTGTAATTTTTAAACTTATTTTTAGAATTTATACACATAAACATTAAACATGATAACAACTATCATGCAATCTCAAATTTAATAAATGGTGGTATTTGATAATATATACTTGTAAAATTATATTTGCAACATTGTATATGATGACATAGTATATGTCAGTATTCTCTTAGTAAGTAGTAAGTTCTGCCAGAGCAGTATGTGTTAGGCTGGATGTAGGTAGTGGGATAAAACCTGCCTAAGGAGATCAGTTCCATCAAAAAGTGGTCAGTTTAAAATGCGACAATAAAAAAATAGGAAATCTAGAAATGGTTAACTATATGTGTATACTTTTTTATACTATAAATTTCCTAACTGTTCTCATTCTTAAGCATCACCTATGCTTTCAGGTATTATCCTCATTTTGAAATAGTTCTGGGAAGGAAAACTCTGATGTTAACCACAGAATGGGCCATTATGACAGGGATCCAAACTAAGCTTTGCCTCCCCCTTTCTCAACCAGATGCTAAAAATGACTTCTTTTGTTCTTGTTCTAGATACCTCTGGGTACAGTGTAAATACATCTGATATGTATCCAGTCCCCAATATCTTGGAATATGGGAACAGAACTTATAGAATAATTAATGCAAATATAACTTGGTATACAGCAATAAAAGCCTGCCTAATGCATGGAGCAGAATTGGCCAGCATTACAGATCAGTATCACCAGTCCTTCCTCACTGTTATCCTCAACAGGATAGGACATGCCCATTGGATTGGACTATTCACTGCAGATGTAGGTATCTTAAATTTCTTGGAACATCCCTGCCTAAGTAAGTTTCATATCTGCTTCCTTGTCATATGGCCAGTAAAATTGACACCAAAAAAAAATTCCCAGAAACTATAGTAAATGTAACATTTAAGTAATTGGTTTATAGAATAACTACTGGCCAACCTTATGAAGAACCCATGACTACAAATTATGGGTATACACCTTTTTAAGAGTTTACATCCACTTGCCTAATTTCTGGGAATTAATGCCCTTCAAAGGTTCTCTGAAAATTTCTGAGCATCTGGGGATCCTGCCTCATGTGGGCAATGGAACACATCTTAAACTCAAGTACCTGCATTTGAGTAATTTGTTGCATTTAAGAAATCCCCAAGAAAAATGGATCATGCTTCCTGCCTAGAAATGTGATTATTAATTAATTCAGTACCCCTTTGGAATTTAACATGCAGGTTTTCTCTCCCTCTAGGGATGTATTTTGGAAAGGAAGACATTTTTAGTTTTCTCTTTTTTTTTTAAGTAAAAGTATTATGTGCTCAAAGTACTGAAAAGTAAAATCTATCTACTCTATCCCAACCTCTGGTTCTACACGCCAAAGAGAATCACTTGTAAACAGTTTCTTGTGCATAATTTAGAAATTTTCTACATATGCACATAATATATGTATATATATATATAATGAATGAATATCTATATCATTTTTTAAGTAAAAATAAGGTCATACTACATGTTATGTCCTTAAACTTGCTTTTTTTTTTTTTTTTTTAATATACCTGGTACAGCTTTCCATGTGAGCACATAAAATCTAACACATTCTTTGGGACAGCACTACATAAGAATATACCGTATCATTCTCCCCTGAATAGAAATTTGGGGTTTTTTTGCAGTTTTTCACAACTACAATAATACAAACATCTTTGTGCAAGTTGGATAAACTTCTAGAAGTGAAATTGCTAAACACACTTTAAATTTTAAGAGATAGTGCCATACTGCCCACCAAAAGTTTGTATTGACTTACATGCCAACAACTATGATGTCATTTTTTCATATCCTTATCCATACTGGGTATTGTCAAAATTTTAATCCTTGCCATGGGGATAGGTGAGAGAATGGTATTTTACAGTTGTTTATTGTATTTTTGCATTACAGAATGTTTTAACTTCATGTAGTCACTTTTGCATTATGGCCTCTGGATTTTGTATCAGACTTGAAAAGATTTTCCCCACACCAAAAGGATAAAATATTTAGCCAAGTTCTCTTAGGCACTTATATCTTCAATTTCATGTATGAATCTTTGATCAATCTGAAATTTGTTTTGGTGTCAACAACAAGATATTGATCAACTTCACTCTGATTGCTTACTGGGAAGTTACGGTGGTAGGGAACCAAGGATTCCCAAAGCCAAAAGCGATACTGTTGTGACAGATAATTCTATCTCTTTTTGTCAGGCCATATTCACAAGCTGTCCTAGACCCCATGAAAAAGAAGTCTAAATGTGGAAATATAAATCTATGTTTGAAGTAAGGGCTGCTCAAACAGCAGTGGGCAAAGCCACCAGCAGTCCTAGCAAGGAAATGATGGCTCAATTTCCCTCCACAGAATGGTCTTAATTTTGCCTGGTCTGATGGATCCAAATCTTCCTTCACTTTTTGGAAAGATGATGAGTCATCCATCTTGGGTGACTGTGTTTTTGCTGACACCAGTGGGCGCTGGAGTAGCACAGCCTGTGAGTCATTTCTTCAAGGAGCAATTTGTCATGTACCTACTGGTAGGTTCAATTCTATTCAACTCAACAAAAGACATACTGGGAACCTACTGTGTGCAAGGCACTGTGCTAAGCAGGAGCTATGAGTAAGAGTAGTAAGAAGTATCTGGCCTCAAGAAGCCTCTGTCTGGTCTGTTAGGTGATGTTCAGACACATAACTATTATACCAGGCAGGGCTACCAAATGATGGAAAAGAGGTAGCAAGTGTTGTGGGGGTTAACAGGAGAGAGAACACATCATATCCACTTGAGAATAAGTAGAAAGACTTCTTGAATGACATTACTATGGGTACTGGCCTTGAAGAATAGATGGGAGGTAGTCAGACAATGATGGGACGTGGAGAGGCATTCTGAATAGGAAAGTTTGGGCAAAGACATGGAAGGAAGAAAGGATTGGACATGTATAAAGCAAAGCTGGTGTTGTGATTTGCCTGCATGACAGGGTACCTGTAAGGAGAGATGAGAAATCAGGCTGGAAACCTGTATTAAGAGCATGTATGAAGGAAAAGGTAACTCTGCTTCTAAAACACCATAAAAGTTATCCTTCCCTTTTCAATAGTCTTGCATTTATTGAGTACTTAAGAAGTGCTGGGCACTAGCTCATTTAAACTGCTTGTGTAGGGACACACTGGTTGGATCAGTTAGTAGAGCATGCAACTCTTAATCTCAGGGTCAGGAATTTGAGTCCCATGTTGGGGGTAGAGATTACTTAGAAGAAAAAAATTTTTTAATAAATTTCTCATGTAAGAAAGATGTTGTTGTTAGCTCTCTCTTTATAGATAAAGAAACCAAAGTGTGAGGAGGATAGGTAACATGCCAACAGTCATGCACAATTAGGATTTCAGCATGGATTTGACTCTCATGCTTGACCACTAAAGCAAAGTCCACCTGAATTTTCCCTTAGTTATGTATGATGTTTTGTTATGCTATGTTATTTTCCTGAATGCATTATTTTCCCTCATACGTTGATTGGCAGGTAATGATTTGCTAAATCTATAATATTCAGCACTGCACAGAACATATTTTGTACATTTGGAAGTGCCTCTTACTGACTTCATTCAGTTTCCAGTATTCCTATGAATCACATCCCCCAGTTTTTCCAACCTTTAGGATACCAATTATAAATGCAAAAGATAGCCACCTTCACCCATGCTGCACCCAAATTAAGGCTAAGAAGTTATGCAATAATATACCCTGTTATGTGTAGGTAAAGATTATTTCTGCCAGAAATGTTACCAACCAGTCTTGCTTTTATAAGCATTTATATTAATCCCACTCTTTCTGAGTATTATCATGAAAATCTCATTACACATATTTATCTTAGTCTGTCATAGAATTTAATGCAATGTTTATCTTAATAAATGAACCCAATCACCACCCTAAAATCATAACTGATTTTTGTTCATAGAAACAAAACCATTTGGACACCCAGAGTTGTGCTCAGAAACATCTATTCCCTGGATAAAATTTAAAAGTAATTGCTACAGTTTTTCTACAGTCCTAAACAGTATGAGTTTTGAGGCTGCTCATGAATTTTGCAAAAAGGAAGGTAATTCTTTTGTGATGGTAAAATGCTTTCAATGCATTCCTTCTTGACATTTCAGTAAACAATGTGGTTTCCTTCATTCGTCTGATTATTTAGTGACTTTAGGAACAACAACAAAAATTGAAAAAATGAACACTATTGAATTTGCTTGTTTGGGGATGGTTTATCTATGAAATTCAATGTCCAGGATAGAATTTGAAAACCTAAGATGATGTTTCAGAATACTACACTTTCCCAAGAAAATGTTCCTTTTGAATGCATTTGAATTATAAATTTTTAAAGTTTCCTAAAACTAACATTCTATGCTTTGACTTCTTATGTACAACCTTGTGTCTTTTAATAAATGTGGCATAACTTTTAAATTTTTAACCAAAAATCACTTATTTACAACAGAAATTTTCACTCTGCAAAGACTGAACTTGACAAATTATGATATAGGAGACTTTTTTTAACTGTATTTTTAAACTGTATTTTTAACAGTATTACACATAAACACAAATGCTTGCTTATTTATTGCTTATCTCTTTTGTAGGGTCTAATCTTTTAACAATCAAGGATGAGGATGAAAACTCATTTCTCCTAGAAGAGCTTTTTGCTTTTGGTTCTTCTGTCCAGATGGTTTGGTTGAATGCTCAGTTTGATGGTGACAGTAAGTGATTTTGGTAGAGAAAAGGAGAGGGCATAAATAAATACATGGTGGGTGGTCAAGATTGATGAAAATGGCAACTAGAAACCAGAAAGCTCTTCTTGGAAACCAAAGCATGAATCCTAAAGCCATTTCTTCCAAAGACAATATTGCCAACCCTTTGCTATATACCCTTGGGTCTTTTGAAATAATCCCACAATACCAAAAATGAAAACAAGCAAACAATAAGTTTATCTTATACTTACCTTCACATCATGAAGATTCTTGGATGGAAACTTGTGGTCACAGACTTGGTCAGAGACAATAAAACCCTATTTATTTGAAAATACCCAGATTATTCCTCAATGTTATAAAAGCACAACAGAGTTATAGAAGTGTTTCAGGGATAAATTGTGCCATTAGAATTACTTGATTCTCATAAAAACCAGGGTTTGTGATCAAATGAGAGCATGACATTCTTCTCTCTATGTAATTGATGGTTATTTAAAGTATTTGTAAAGAAAATTATCTTAGTTGGTATGGAGAACTTATTACAGTGGTATGCCAAGGGGGAGGGTGGGTCCACTCTGATAAGGAGGAGTGTTTCAACCACAGACATTGTTTAGAATTTCTATTCCATTGTGATAATAAAAAGATGACCAACTTTTAGTTCCTTTTATTGTTGGTTTTAAATCCTTTCAGACAATGCACCCCCATTATTGCTTACCCATGGATGGACTCATTGCCCCCATCCTTCAGTACCCCAGTGGCTTGCTTTTTAAAGAAATTCACTGTAAAATTATTTTAGAAAGTGAGCTATTTTGCAATGATATAGGAGTTAGGACTGAAAATGATTTCTTTAAATTGATTATAATGATAGCGAATATTTCAAAATTCAAACTGTTACATTTAGAAAGATGATATTCTAAATTAACTAAATTAGAACAATATATCTAAAATAAATAGAAAGCTGTTCATAAGGCAACTTTACTAATACCTGCCTTGTGATGTTGAGTTCATGACTATACCTAAGAGTTGCATGCATCAGATAAGGAGACAATATCATTAACTGAGGATCAGCTTTTTATGGCTCACTCTAGTCTTAGTATATTTGATAATTGTACATATAATTCATAGTAAGTTAACAATTTTTCCACAGATGAAACCATAAAGTGGTTTGATGGAACTCCCACAGATCAGTCAAACTGGGGCATTCGGAAACCAGAGATGGATCATGTCAAACCCCATCTGTGCATTGCTCTGAGGATCGCTGAAGGAGTATGGCAGTTATCCCCATGTCAAGAAAAAAAAGGATTTATATGCAAAATGGAAGCAGGTGGGTAAAGCCAGAGGGTAATTCTTCATTTTGATTCTACCCTGACTAATGCTGTCCACCTCTGTAGCGTTTAAAGCTTTGAAAATCCAAGTATTCAGGGAGTATTCAGATAGAGTCTAACATTATCATCTTGTCCCACATCAAACAAGACAGAGGGCATTTCAGCTCCTTGTTTCTCTAATACGAAGGAAAAAAAACCATTGTAAAGATTATGACTTTCCAGTGTCACCCTTGCTGTTAATGGGCAAAAAAAGCAGTTTAACCTAAAAAAAAAAAAAAAAAAAAAATGGAACTAGCAGTGTTAATCAACATCCCTTATTCTGGCAACCGGTACTCAGAAATTTTAAGATTCATCTTCTGTCCCAGAAAAAATAATCTAGGCCTTAGGTATTCTTGTTGTAGGTAAGTAGATGTGATTCTCTGTTGCTAGCCATACTATATTACAAAAGTCATATTTTAACTTTGTCTTGAGCTACATAGTTTGTGGTGATAAAAAGAAATAATAATTTTAGAAATCTAAGCCAAAAAATTCTAGTCAGTTGCAAACAATACAGAGATTTCTAAGATAGGATGTTAACAATGATCATTAACAATAGAAATGTGTTTTTAATAATAATCACATTTCTAGATACTCGTATTGCAGAGAAGGAAGAATTGGTGTGGTCCCGGCTGCTGGTGAAGGTTTCCGAGAAGAGATAAGGTTTTAGAATCCCAAGAAATGAAGAAAATAGAGAAGGGAAGGCATCTTTGACAAAATCACAGCATTACTGAATGCAGCAGCTGAGAATGAGCATAGATAGAGTCAAGGGCTCACACTGGGTGGCGATGGGAATCAAACTGGGCAGTAATGTAGGATCCATTCACGGAGGGCACCGGTCTCAAGAGATGAACTTGATGGGGAAGAAGACACAGAACCCCTATGCGCTCTGTAGACACATGTAGTGGAATCACACTCATCCAGATGTAAAGGGAGGCAGTTGTAATTTGAGCAATAGAACTAGGAACACGAGGAAGGAAAAATCGTCAGGTTTCTGTGATCTAATTAGACACCGGGGCAGAATGAAGGAGAAAAAAACTGGTAGGTATTGGCACGAACGTTCAAGCCCCAGTAGCCTAGATAGCAATTCTGTGTGGAAAACATGACTGAGCCTAACAACTAGTGTGCCCAAGTGATCAATAGCATTTAATTTTAAAACCAAATCAGAAATACCTCATGTCTGTACAGGGCTGTAAATCTTCCTATAATATAGAGAACACCTCTTTCATCCCTCACAGCAACTTCCAAAGTCTCTGAAAGAGATATAATATTCCCTTTTTACAGATGAGAAAAGCACTGGGGCTACATCAAGAATCGTTTTCCAAATATTCTGACTCTACAGCATTCTGTATCTGCCCACTGCCTGCATCCAGAGAATAAAAACTCTTTTACAGTCTCTTTTTAGAAAGTATCTTCACACAGACACATAATATATGTTTTCAATTGTATTATGAAAAAGTGTGCAGTATTATGGTTTTGCTCTTGGTGACAGTGTTTCAAGTCCGTAAGAGTCAATGGGCAGAAGTATTGCACCTAGGCGCTTCCTCCACTCACAACCCCGTTACTGGTCTTCCTCTGAGTTATTCTCTACGTATTTCTCTGGCTCTTTACCTAGATTAAAAATAGCAGAGCTCAAATTTATAGATAGAGTCTACTTGAAAGAGACACTTTTCTACAGTAGAAAGTCCTCAAACAGGCACCCTCTAATTTTTTGAGTGAAGGAGCTATTATTCATTTCCTGAGATTCTTGAGATAGCAAAGGTGAGAATGTGATTTTAAAATCCTTGTATGGGGCTAAAGAGATTATCATTGCTGGATAAACTCCATCTCAGATCTTAACAAAACTTAGTTCCTTGCATGCAGGGACTATATTTTATTCATATTTTTATTGCAGCACAGTCCTGAGACCGGATCAGATGGAAATTTTTCAGCTTAAAAAAAAAAAAAGCAGGGTATGTGTTTTTTTGAGCAATAATAACGATTACAATAAATCAGGGGTCAGCAAAATTTTCTTGTAAAGGGCCAGACAGTAAATATTTTAGGCTTTGGGGGCCATATAGTCTCTGTCACGCTGCCATTGTAGCATGAAAGCAGCCATAGACAATACATAAATGGATGAGTGTGGCTGAGTTCCAACAAAACATTATTTATAAAAACAAGCACCAGATCTGATCCATGAGCCACAGTTTGCTAAGACCTGCTATAAATAATAACATAATATTGCTGAATTAAAAGAAAATTTTCATCTCAGTTTTTTTCTTTTGTTTTTGTTTTAGGTATTCATGTAGTAAAGGAGCATTCAGGAAAAGGTAGGTTTGAACAGTACAGAACATATTGATTTCCTTAGAAACAATAATATAGAAAGTAACTATGGGATAGTATCTATCTTAACTCATTGTCATTGAACTTTTCCTTTTTTCATCTTGTCTCAGGACCAAGTCACAGTATCGTACCTCTTGCAGTAGCACTCACACTGATAGTGATTCTGGCACTTTCCACACTTTCCTTCTGCATATACAAGCACAAGAGAGGTGTCTTCAGGAGACTTGCACAGTTTGGGAATCCTTACTACCCTACAACCAACTTCAGCACAGTACATTTGGAAGAAAATATTCTTATTTGTGATCTTGAGAAGACTGACCCATAACAATGAATTCAGAGAATGCCACAGCCCTAACGATAAGTAAAGACAGGAGGAGTCTCCCCCGCATTTTCCTTTACAGACCAGAGGCCACTATAATTTGAACTGTGTCACTATTTTAATTATTCTTAAACAAATCAGATGGGTGTTGATTTATTCATTTCCCCAAACTGTGATCTATTCTTAAAATGGGGAAATTATACAATGGTTACTAGTCGGAAAACAGGAACTATCAAAAGTAACTCCCTATTGAAGACTCTCAAACCAATGTGAATGATAAATTTTGTATTACTATATTTCTACTGAAATTTTAAAAGAATTTTCAAACTAATCTGATCTATTCAGACATTTACTCACACTCATTCCATTAAAAAAGAGAGGAAATGAAACAAATTATAAAACTCTATGCTTGTATATAAGATGAAAAGTTGAAGTCTTCTGAGAGGTTTCTTGTTTGTTTTTTAATTCAGTCATTTTAACATTTTAACATCAGGGCTTAGAAAACTAATTTCTAAACTTAAAACTCACATGTTCTGGGCTCTAACCTGATATTTGTTTTTATTAGTTCTGACTTCTCAAACGAAAGAAGAAAAATGACCTGTCTTTAAATAGGAAAGATCTTGGTTAGCAACACACTTGCATAAGCAACTAAATAATGTGGCCTAAAACCTTCAATTAATAAATGATGACTGTGTTTGATATTTTAAAATATAGATAAGCTTAAAAGAATTTATTAAAATTTCACTATCATTAAGACTCATGGCCTTTATTAAAACCAAAGGTATAAAGTAATCCATAACTCTCCTAACAACTGAAAGATATAAAATATAATTTAAATCTAAAGGGGAAAAAATGAAGATGTGAATTACAGTACCATTAGAACCGCACTAGAAAATATATTGAGAAGTACTAAATAAATGACTCTCCAATTATAATCTAGCTACCTTTGCTATATAAACAAATTTATGTGGAAGTATTTAGTAAACTATTTAGTAAACTATGGTTTATATTTAGTAAACTATGGTTCTTAAGAACCATCTCTGTTTGTGTTGGACTAGTCAGTGCAGTTGGTAAATAATGATCAATAGCATGACACTGTCCATAAATTAAATATCACAGATTTGACTTTCCTTCAAGAATTTCTCATCATGGAAAAGTGACTTCATAATCAAAATTTTAAAGTTTACTCATTACCTAAATGCTCATTTGCATTCCTATTAAGAACCAAGTGCCATTCTAGAAACTGGATGTATGTATTGGGGTGAGCAAATTAATGAGAACTTGTTTTTATGTCACTTATTTCCTGATGAGAGAAAAGCGAGAAAAATCCAGTAAATTCATAAGTGGAAAATACCAGGTGGTTATGAAAATTAAGTAAGGTCTTGTGATAGAGAGGAACTGGAAGAATCTCAAGGCCTCCCCAGAGTGTGCATTTTTAATTATTACACCCAGCTGCCTTGAAACTAATGGCCACTAGTCACAAGGTGGAGCTCTGGGAGAAAGTATGAGTGAATCTCTAAGTGAAAAGCCATCACCATTAGAAACAGAATTTGATGAGCATACCTTAAGAAGGGAGTCTTCGTGGCCTGAAACAGTTAATACAGCTTCCAAAAGCTTCCACAAAGCTTCCAATACAGCTCTTTGCCCCAGGTGTGTAGCTCACACACTAGGACAATCAACTTCCATAATTTTTTTTTGAAGTTTTGAGACTTCATGTTTTAAAAGATATTATATTATGTAGCAGTTATATATTTATAATTCATGAGAATAATTGGCTTGAACTAAACAGGTGGCATAAAAGCCCAATTTAACAATCTGTCAAGTGAAATTAAAGTTCTATTCTTTTCAGTGGTCTTGGTAAAAACTGCTAATCAATTATCCTCCTAGTCAACGTATATTGAAGTGGAAGAGTCACACATAACAGTTTGACAAAGTATGTCTTTAATAAAGTGGTTTTGCAGAAAGAAACTGCTCTGTTTGTCAATGCTTTGTACTTTGCTCTTTAGTATTGAGCTACATCTCTGGGGAATCTGTCCCCATGCACAGGATCATGCACTCCTTCCCATTACTGAAATTTCAGAAATAGAAAGTACTGAAATATTCTATTTTATTTATAGATCTGCACTTTAAAAAACTTTTTGCACACACATCTATTTTTAATCTGAATTAGATTTCATAACTATAGCATAAAAAGCAAAAAACCATCAGGGTCACAAACTCATCCACACATAATTAATGTGCCCATCTCAAAAAATAAATAAATAAATAAATAAATCAGTTATTATCCATGACTCTGGGTAATGGGAAATCTTGGATTTTTCAATTAAAGATATCTTGGGCTCTTCCAATTCTAACAGTCTTCTTTCAGTTTAAATGCTTCTTCAGTTGAAAGTTCCACTTCCTCTCAAGGATGGAATAGATGGTCTCTCTAAATAAACAGATTTTTGGAGTTTCCTCTTCCTCCTCAAAATGGTGTTGGATATATGAGAACTTGTGTTGTTGTAGTACTGGGGAAGAGAAGGTGATAAGCCACCATAAATGTGTGTTATCTGCGTCCACTGAGGGTAGCTCTCTGGCCCCACTCCTAGGAACTTTGCTGGCATCAGATATGAAGCCTGTAGTCGGTGCAACCTGTAGTCTCTTCTCTTTGATTTGGCTCCTTTCCGGCTCTCTCCGTCACTGCCCTATCCCCAATATACTGGCTATGACTCCCATTCAATTATCTACCTGGACACTCAGTTATACAAGGCCACTTCACCTCTGCAGTAGTGAGACCTATCTAGCATCATCAGCTACTCTATTAGGAAAGGCCAAGTGCTGTAGCAAATAATCCCAAAATCTCAGTGGCTGAACACAGCAAAGGTTTATATTTCGACAGTGGGTTTGCAGTAGGACTTTGCATTCATGGGTCCAGGCATCTCCTATATAGGAGGGCCTCCAACTTAGAGGGCCTTGGGGTCCTCCAATGGACCTCCTACTTCTACCTGACAGAAGCTAACTTGGGACCTATCTTTGATTAAGTATGTAGCTTTCAGGGACTATTGAAATGCATTGTTTAAGTTAACAGTCTCCATACTAAGGACACATACCTGAAGATACATAAAGATTTCCAAGGAACAGAAGGGCATGGATATTTTTTAAGTAGCTTAGTTTCCAGACTCTTTGACCTTCATATATATTCTTTGTTAGAACTAACTTGCATGGGAACACACGTGAGATCATAGTGTCATGCTGGTTCTTCTTTTCCACCTCTCTTGTACAAATGCCTATCTCTACCTTAAAAAACAAAAACAAAAACAAAAAACCATGACTTTCACTCCAAATCTTGGTATGATCTTGGGAAAATTCTCCATGGTACCAAACATGGAAAAAAACTCAAAGTCATGATGTCAATGAAGCTTCTTTTAGTAAAAGAAGTCTAAAACTAGTGTTGAGCCTCATGTCTTTCCCTGTGTTCATACATTTTTTGATGAAGGATGAAGTGATGAATGAGATATTCCATATCAGGATATTCTAAGTTAATATGCATTATACAGTGGAACAAGAGAAATGATAACTACTACTTTTTGTTTAAGACTATCTTGTGCAGCCCCTAACTATTATCAGAGAAGGTATTTCTGGAGAAACTTCTGGTGAAAGCAAAGGAAGTGTAGATATTGATAAGAACCTGACACCTTACTTTATCCTAATGAAAAGCTTAAGGCAAAGCTCTGTGCTTTATTTGTCTTAGAAGATTTCTAAGTGAAGGTGAGTATTAACATGCTCATTGAATTGAAAACCCAAATTGGATTTTTTTCTGATCATTTACTTGTCTTATTTTGCTTGAGGATTTGACAATGACGATTGGCCTTACCTATTAAGTTTTATGATGAATGTTTTTCATTACCTGAATAAACTAAATTGGCAACTCCAGTGTCATGATTAAAACAGTTATTAAGATAAAGACATTTTAATAGGAAAATGGTATTGACAAAACTATAACAATATATCATTTTTCCCAACCTTACTTTGTATATCAGATAAAACAAGAGGTGCCTATGAGTGAAAGAGTAACAGACATAATTAATAGTCATTTGAAAAGTCTTAGTAAAGTCTATTAATTTTACTTCTAGGAAACTGACAAAGTAAATCATTTTAATGACTGGGTAACAAATCCTTTTGCAACTTGATTGTTTCCAGTTCTTTGCTTTAAGCAAAACTCAAGAAGGACATAATCAAATTATCAGTTGTCAGATGATGAAAAGTGATTTTTAATGTAGAATCGCTGTGACTTTGGACACAAATAAGAAAATAATTCAAGTAATGAAATTACATTGCTAAAACAAACACGCTTTCATTCCCATATACTTATTTATATGAAGAAAGTTTTTACATTAGTCAGGATAGGTTAGGGCATGCTGTAGAAACAAATAAACCCCCTAATGGTAATGGCTCAAAACAAAACTCAAAAATTAATTTTTTTGGTCATGCAAAGCCTGCTATGGTTCCATTGGTTCTTCAGGGGAGTTCACATCCAAACAATAACTCCTAGATCTAGGCTGCATGTCCCTACCTCAGGAATATGGGGTTTTCAGTGATACTATGGCACAAAAAAGGAGTAGAGAACTCTTAAGTTTCTGTGTCCCTACGTGGCACTTCCACTCACATATCATTGGCCAGACTAGTCACATGTCCAACCTAAGTGCAGAAAGTCTGAGAGGTCTTCCAGTGTGCTCAGGAAAGAGAAGATAACCAACTACAATGAGCACCAGCAATCTCTACCAGAGTTTCTTAGCATGTACAGTTGAGTATAATAATAATAGAAATCATGTTAAATCCTGACTCATTATAGCAATTTTAAATTAATATTAATTAATTTTATCTGTGATACATCCATTTCATTAAGAGATACATTATAACATTTTAGTCTGATATAAACTATTAACTGTTATATTGTATTTATGTTGTTCTGATCAACTCTGTACTAATAAAAATCGAAGTGACAGCTCAATATAGAAGAAAATGTATAATACTTAAAGCCTATGTTCACAGAGAATTTTAAAAATAATTTTAATTTATATTCATAATTTTTACTATAGGTTAACATGACAAGGTGATAAAATATTTTCAAGATTATAAGTATATTACATTGGGATAAAATTCTGTGGGTGGATTGGAATGGAAATACAAGACTAAGGAAAAAAAAACAATGCAAAATCTCTGACTGCCAAGAGTTTGTGTGTATTTCTATTTTTAAGTAGATTATGATGGAATTCAAGTTGTTAAGGTATCTCCAATCAAAGGAACTAGGGCTCCCTGGAGAAGTGGCTGATTCCAGGTCTGGGGCAGTAAAAATGCAGGATAAAAGTGGATTATCTTGTGGTCCCAGAAAGTGAAAAATTGATCCCAAAAAGATGAGGTCATGTCCAAAGAACACAGAAACTAACAAGATGGAGCTCCCAATGGCCAACATTTGAACAATTTGAGCAGAAAAA